CTCTCTCTGCATCTCTCTCTCTCTCTCTCTCTCTCTCTCTCTCTCTCTGTTCGTGTGTATGTGTGTGTATGTATGTGTGTGTATTTGTTTATTTGTTTGTTTGTTTGTTTGTTTGTTTGCGCATGCCCGTTTCCCAATTTACACATTCCCGTCTCACCCACATATGAACTCACACACTAATGCGCAATAAATAATACTCTAATGTATATCTAACAGCTCCAACTATTATATAAAATGTTTCTTTTTATTTTCTCTCTTCCTCTCTGCAGCTGTTACCTCCGTCTATTGGACGTGATATAAAAGACACCACGGGAAGCCGCCCACCATCTTCTCTCTCAGCAACTCCTTCATGAGGGAAAGAAGAAGAAAAAACAAACTCGAACAAACAAAAACAAGACAAAAGAAAGAAAGAGTCCTGCTTCCATGACAACGGAACTCCGTCACAGGTCGTCACGCCCCTTGACTCGACGTCATTTCCGGTTCATGTGTTGTACATCGGGATGCACCATCAGCTCTGCATCAAGTCGCCCTTCTCGGTTCTCGGCCCAGCCCACCTGCAACCGGATAACCGGTAGACTGGATATTTGGATAACCGACTAATATCCGGATGATAGGAAGTTTATTTTTTTCTTCTTTTGCTGGAGTATGTGCAGAAGCTCCCAAGCTCGGTCTTCCTCACAGATGGGTGGGGTGACTTAAGAAACGGCAGGGCTTTTTTTTCGTGTTTTAATTTTTGGGGGGTATTTTTGTTGGGGTTTCTTTGTTTTCTCCCAGAAAACATGCCTAGTTTTGGAGTGGCTCTGGCGTGGATTATTCTCTCCCCCATCGCCTTCTTCACCAACCTAGTGGGCGTGGCCTTCATCCTGCACTACAACCCGCTCTTCCACAGCGTGGACGTAGCGCTGATCTCACTGCTCGTCACCATGTCACTCAACGCTTGGCTCCTCCTCCCCATCCCCGCCGTCATGGAGCTGGGCGGCTTTGATTGGTCGGAGGGCCTGTGCACGTTCTACGCTTGGCTGTCCATGACGCTTCGCTCCGCCCACCTCCTCGTCCTCCTCATCTTCAACGTCTACTGGATGGCCTCGTTGAGAGTTTCAGACCGAGGCCAGATGTTCTCCACATCCAAATCCGTCAAAATCTGTGTGTTCATCTCGTGGTTTGCCGCAATAGTCGTCGGGCTGGTACCTGTAACCGGCGGAACCAGCTTATTCAACTTCTACTCTTCCAACGTCTGCCGATTTCTCCCCTACAACGTGGATATAGGGCTGGCGGTGTTTTTCATCGTTCTGGCTTTCGTGTCGATGGTGTTGGGTATCGTGAGCTCCTCCGATACGTTGGTTCTGTTCCACCACATGAAGCATGTGGCGCTGAGCAAGTACAACGCCGGGCGATTCCACGCCCCGAGGCCCTCTGCCGTGGCACAATCGGGTTCGAACATCCACGCCAAGTACAACGAGCTGGCTGTGTCCATGGAGCTGTGTCTGCTCGGGCTGTGCTTCACGGTGGCCTCCTGTCTGCTCAACGCCATACCCCTCATTGTGAGTACCGGTCATGTTAGTGTGGGTCATTGGTAGAGGTATGCGTTTAACAGGTTGTATCGTTGTACGTATGTCTTCACTGCATGGTGTAGTCTGCTCCTCCCCATACCCCTCATTGTGAGTACCGGTCATGTTAGTGTGGGTTCTTGGTAGAGGTATGCGTTTAACAGGCTGTAACACTGTATGTCTTCACTGTAGGATGCAGCATGCTCAATGCAATACTTCTCCTCGTAAGTAAAGGTCATGATTGCGTACCAAGCATTATTTAGACACGTCCAATGGTGCCGTTAAGGCATTTAAAAATATTTTTTATGGCCTTATTAACAGGTAACCACGATTCGGCGCTGTTCAGAGCTGCCTGTTCCATGCGAGAAAAGGTTTTGGAGATAATTTGATTTTGAGTTTGCCTCGAACTCGAATAGTGGGGTTGGTAGCTCAGTGGTTAGGTGACCCGACCTACGGTCGTGAGATTGCGGGTTTGGGGGTTCGAACCTCATCTCGGCCCGACATTGTGTCCTTGGGAAAGTGAAAGGCACTTTACACGAAATTACTTCTTATTTGGCTTGGTCCTTTCGGAGATGGACGGTAAACTCGGAAATCCGGTCTCTTAGAGAACCTGCTTGTATTGATACGTTAAACTTATACCATTTTTCTTCTGTTTTTGTGTTTTTTCAAAGACGATCGGGCAAAAAGTTCTTTCGCTCAACGTCTGAAGTCTGAGCGAGTGTCTCTGTAAATGAAATGGAACCCCAGATCTTAAATTTATATATCTTTGTGAACCAGGCTTGTCCGAAGTTGAAGTTACAAATCATAGCATGAGGGCATTCGGACAAAACATAGGGAACAAAGAGTAGAGTCCCTCCGATCGACATAGAAATACAGTGACAAGAAGTGGATTCTATAGAACCTAATCGTATCTCAGAAGCACTGGAATGATTTTTTTTCCTTTACTCAGAAAATGTTGTTTGTTTGGTGTGGGTTTTTT